CTCTCCCCCTCCCAGGCAGCCCGGAATCCCTCCTCCTTCTCCCGGTCCCCCCACCCCCAACCTCCGGCTGTCTGGAGGTGGGCAGTGACGGCCCCTCCCCGCGCTGCCCCCGCCCGCCCGCGTGCATGCGCTACTGAGCAAAGGGGCGGCCGGTCCCCGAAGTCCGGGCTGCAGGACCCCAGCCGGCAGGGCGGGCTGCAGGGGTGGCCGAAAGCGCACTGATCTGGGCGCCGGAAAGCCTGGGTTTGGCAATGGCTTTGCTGTGTGGCCTTGGGCAAGTCACTCTTCGTCTCTGGGTTCCACTTCCTCCCCAATCCACAAATGGGATTGGGTTCCTTGAAGCCCTGGTATTTCTGAGGTCTCCATTACCCCCTTTCCTCCCCCACACCCCAGGGGCTTTTGTTCCGGCGCCAACACGGGTCTGAAAAACAAAAGGCGCCCGTCCAGGGGGCGAATGAGCTTGGACTCCCCACTGCCAAGTATCCCCGCGCGCTTCACTCGGCGCGCCCTGCTGGGCGGGCCCAAGCCGCGGCGGCAGCTCTGAAAATGGCTCATCTGCTCTCTGCTTTCTCTGTTTCGCAGGAGCGGCGGCATGGAGGCTCTCACCACTCAGCTGGGGCCGGGGCGCGAGGGCAGCTCCTCGCCCAACTCCAAGCAAGAGCTGCAGCCCTACTCGGGCTCCAGCGCTCTCAAACCCAACCAGGTGGGCGAGACGTCGCTGTACGGGGTGCCTATCGTGTCGCTGGTCATCGACGGCCAGGAGCGCCTGTGCCTGGCGCAGATCTCCAATACCCTCCTCAAGAACTACAGCTACAATGAGATCCACAACCGCCGCGTGGCCCTGGGTATCACGTGCGTGCAGTGCACGCCGGTGCAGCTGGAGATTCTGCGACGGGCCGGGGCCATGCCCATCTCGTCGCGCCGCTGCGGCATGATCACCAAGCGTGAGGCCGAACGCCTGTGCAAGTCGTTCCTGGGCGAGCACAAGCCACCCAAGCTGCCGGAGAACTTCGCCTTCGATGTGGTGCACGAGTGCGCTTGGGGTTCGCGTGGCAGCTTTATCCCCGCGCGCTACAACAGCTCGCGTGCCAAGTGCATCAAGTGCGGCTACTGTAGCATGTACTTCTCGCCTAACAAGTTCATCTTCCACTCGCATCGCACACCTGACGCCAAGTATACGCAACCCGACGCCGCCAACTTCAACTCGTGGCGCCGTCACCTCAAACTCAGTGACAAGTCGGCTACAGATGAACTGAGCCACGCCTGGGAGGACGTCAAGGCCATGTTCAATGGCGGCACGCGCAAACGGACCTTCTCTCTGCAAGGAGGCGGCGGAGGCGGTGCTAATGGCGGATCGGGTGGGCAGGGGAAGGGTGGTGCTGGCGGCGGCGGCGGCCCGGGGTGCGGTGCTGAGATGGCCCCAGGTCCACCGCCCCACAAAAGCTTGCGCTGTGGCGAAGATGAGCCTGCTGGGCCTCCCGGACCACCTCCTCCCCTCCCGCAACGCGGACTTGGCCTGGCGGCGGGAGCTAGTGGCCCGGCGGGCCCGGGAGGGCCTGGTGGCGGCGCTGGCGTACGCAGCTACCCGGTGATCCCAGTGCCCAGCAAAGGCTTTGGCCTCTTGCAAAAGCTGCCCCCGCCGCTTTTCCCGCATCCTTACGGTTTCCCCACGGCCTTCGGTCTATGCCCCAAAAAGGACGACCCGGTGTTAGGTGCAGGCGAGCCCAAGGGCGGCCCTGGCACTGGGAGCGGCGGCGGCGCGGGCACTGGCGGGGTCGCGGGTGGGCCGGGAGCTG